ATACTGTAGCCCATGGCAACCCACTGCCACAGGGGCTGCAGCCTACGCCGTCGCCGGCGACTCACGGCAGCCCAGCTCCAGGTCGAGTTGTTGTTCATCATCTTAGCTATAGAGGGCAGTGTCACTGGCCTCATATGTGGGATCCGAACCGGGGCCCTCTGGCGTCCCAAGCCAGTTCTTAACCATCGCGCCACTCCGCCGGTCCCAGAGGATAGTTTTATTAGAGCAGAAAGTTACAGCTCTCAAAATGAGAGGGGGTCCCGACTGGGATGCCCCCAAAATTACCATTTTAACATATACTTATGGTGTCAAGCTGCATACAAAAAGCAATCACCTCTACACCATCTCCACCCAAAAGTGTTTTCTGTTGGATTCTTTCCTTGTCCTGCAGTGAAAAATTATAGCAGTGTGTGTGTAGATGCCTGGGTGGGAGACAGATAAAAGCGGAGAGTAGAGAGGAGGGGATGCAAATTAAGGCCTCTCTTTGCCTTTACCTCATGTAGCACTTGCCCATTTTAAAGCACTTGCAAATATACTGTCTCATCTGATCCACATACTAAATTAGTGTATTTGTCAGGGTCCACATTACTCTGTTTTTCAGTTGAGGAATTGGAGGCTCATAAAAGTTAAAGAACATCGTCCAAAGTCACAAAGACAGTAAGTATACCAGAAACAAACTCGCAGCTCTGACTCCTTCACTTGTCCCCGACTCCTGCTTGGATGTTTGTTTTTTTATATTTCTGCCTAAAAGACGATTGGACAAATATTTTTACCCAAGTTTCCTTTAGATATTATCATTGGTTTGCCTCTGACCATGCTTTCCCTGCCCTATTAATACAGTTAATTTATTTTGGATTTTTCTCACACTTTGTTCAGCTATAAACTATTGTAAATGAAGGCCAAGTCTTCTCCATGATCAGTATAGTTCACAACATATGTCTCCTGGCACTCAGTGGATCCCCATTTAGTTCCTCTCTGGCCAGAGCCTTCCTTGGGTGCTTTGAATATGGCCAGTGAACATTAACCAATCATGCAGTTTCTAAGATTCTGGCAGGACTTCTAAGACCTACTCACATACAAGTTCAGGAATGAGAATAATATGTCAGGCTATTTTGAACGATAAATGAAACTGTTCTAAGAACAGACAACACAAGGTTTTTCTAGTCTCTTTGAAGACTAGAAATACAGATCCATGAGCAATGTCCATCATCTCTCCTAGAAACTTAAGATTTTGAGCTTTCTTCTCTTAACTGTACTTCTCATCTGGAAAATTTGAGTGTATTGGTGTTGAAACAACTATCCTAAATGGTATTACAATTTACTGTTCAGTGAGAAGGTAAAATGCAAGAGGGTTTTGGGGAAGGAACTTAATAAGAAGGCTGCAACCACTTTAGAAGTGTAAAACTCCTTCCACAGGGGAGTTGGGACACTAAAACTTCCATCAAAGCACATGAAAATGACATCAGTGGTCTGTTATCCCCTCATAAACGTACCAGACCTGGGCAAAGATGTTCAAGCAATATCAGCCTCTGTCAAACCCATTGCAAAGTTTGACATCTGTTAAATCATTAATGATACAAATAAAGTATTAACAAAGATGGAGAAGGAAGGGAGAGTGCTGATAGCATGTATTAAGACTAAAAGTAAAAGGCCAGAAATGACATGATTAATTCCTGGATTTTGGAATATCACTATAGCTTGTTGGCTAAAGCTTCCCAAGTTTCAAGTCACTGGAAATGACTCTGGTAATAAAAACACTATGAAAATCTGTAATAGATGAATTTGGGGATTTTTAACACTGGTATGGCTGTTTCCACAATAAGTGGATATCCTTTGGCTCTTCACTTCCTCATCTCCTCCAGACACCTTGTTTCAATTCCATGGAATGTAATTCTCCATGACCTCAAAGAAAACTTTGTCCTTGACCTAGCACCATAAGAGCAAAAACCAAGTATCAGCCTATAGCATTCATCTTCGTTTTTATCCCTGATTAAATAATGGGTTCTATTTTCTCTTTCCCCTGAGCCTGGGGCATGCTAGCTTTGGACGTTCCCTTGTAGAGAAATGAGAGTTTTCTTTCAAAACTTGTGACAAAGGAAAAGCTAGGTTATCATCAAATTGTTTTATTTCTATTTTCCTAGGGAAAAAAATAATACTACATTTTCCAGATTCCTCTGCAGGTAGGTGGGGCTTTTGGGTTGATTTCTGGTGAATAGAATGTGAACAGAAATCACAAGTATCACATCCAGGCTGAGGTAATTAAGAACCAGTGTGCTCTTCCCATACATTCTTTCTTCCCTTTCCACAGCGAACTTGAAAGCAGGGCCTCCAACATGCAAGACCCAAGCATGTATGCAGGCCCAGCAATGGGAAGTTAAAGTGCCCATGGAGATAGTATCAGTAACCAAGGCAACAGGCAAGTCAAGTAATTTGGTGGCAGCCAGCAATAGCTGCAGAAGCTCTAGTCTTCCAGGGAAGAAGTGCAGGAATGTTATTCCAGCTGGTCCGGGCTGAGGTTCTGGGTGGGCCATAGTATAAAGGCCTGCTTGGAGGAGCTCCAGTTTAAGGTGAGCATAAAGGGCTGAAGGAGGGGCAGGGCTGCAGCCCAATGACCCAACTGGTAAATGAAGCAAGGAAATGCCTTTTTGCGAGAATTTACTATATTCTTCTCCCACCAGAACTGTTCTAGAAAACAGCCTACTGGTTCTGCCTGCAGCCTTATTCTGAAATCCATTAAAGCCCAGAGAGGAATTCAGATGCATACACTTTAACAGAGTATAGCTGTCTTCTCATTCCTTCTTTCCACCTCCCTTTTCCTCGGAGAGCTTCAGAGAGTTTGCAAACATATCCAAGAAAACATGCCACAGGAATTAGCAGGCCTCTTTGAACTCTATGCCCAGGATCAGGGAGACCCCATTGCTGGCTATACACCACACTGCTCAATACCCACTCTACCCTCATTAGGTGGGGAAAATTCCACCACAACAAGCTGTCATAAAGCCTGATTCCCTTCTGCTGTATTCTTTACATTGCTAAGTTAGGAAAGGAGTTGGATATTTCTTCTGGCCTGTACCCCACAAACAACAAGCACAAGCATGACTGTGTGTGTCCTGGCTGGCATGAAGACAAGACAGCAGGACTTAACAGAGAAGGAGGCCGATGTGCACCCGTCCCCCAAAAGATTAGCGGCTTCTGCCACACAACTGCAGAGTGTTAGCCTGCCCTCTTTTTACACCAAATTAATAGATACATGGATAAAGGGTCAGATTTTACTCACTTAAACATATTTATTTAGTACAATGGTGCAAAACCCTAGGCTAGGTCTTTTGGTAACACTGGCATAAACACTATTCCTGCACTCATGAGGCTTGTAATCTAATAGAGAAGAAATAATTTCCAGTAGTAACGAATGTAAGGTAGGATGTGTTACATGCCTAAAAAAGAAGAAATAAAATGCTATGAGGGCTAATTTGGAAAAGGATGCAATTACTCTCAACTGGAAAGTGGATTTAGGATAAGATCACAAAATGTTGGTGCTGCATGGCACAACTGAGTAGAAGCTAATGATGTTAGGTGATTACACAAAACCATGGAGCCAGCGACAGAGCCAACAAAGCCTTGTGCCCTGTCTTCCGACTCCAAGTCTTTGCCCACACTGCTATGTCATGCTGCTTCTTGGCATCTTCATCATGGGACTGCCTCAAACCGAAACAAATTATCTGCTAGTCTAAATTCTATCAATCAAGATATAAACGCCATGAAGCTTATGACTTGGGAAGCTTACACTCTAGTAGAACAGCTCAAACATGCATCTCCATGCTTTTCTAAGATACAACTAACCTTGGGGAATATAATATAGAAACATAGATACACTAGATTGATATTTAATCCATTATCAACCCACAAGATTGAGCAGGAAAAGAGGGGTGAGAGTTTAGTGGGAACTGAGCAGGTGAAAGAGGGAAGAAGGAAGAGGGACTAAAGAGAAGACTCCTAGGAGGCCAACTGCCTAGATAGTCTTAGGTGGTGGAGACAAGATAGACCATTTGTCTCTATAAAACCAAGAACCACTGCTGGGTCCTTAGCAAGTACTCAGTTTAAAAACTCTACACAATAAGAGGCAGGGCGAGGGAAGTGTCACCTTGTACTTAGCTTCTGCCCCAAATCTTCAATACTTATGAGCAAGTTTGTAGTGACTTGCAAAACCGTAATGCTCCTGACCCCTTCCAAAATAATACTCAGATACACACACACATCTCCTCTTGGGACTCATTCACGCCTTGACTCATTTCAATACCAAGGTGATCCAGACAGCTGCCACCCTCCCTGGTGACTAGGGGTGGAACTGCTGTGCAGAAACCACCTGTAGACCTGCGGTCTCAGGCACTGACCCACTGTCTCAGCAAAGCCCATCTTACCAACATCCTCTTCTGTGTCCAGAAATTTAACCCACTTCAGGCAAGTAGGAAGGGTAAGTGAGCTCAGAGAACTTGCTCATATAACTGTACTGGCAGGTCTTCAAGTCCATACTTCCGCATTTTCATTTGCTCTGAGGCCCAAAAGTACAAGTGCCCTTAAATGCTGTGTAGCTGTGGGAAAGAAGAAAGAAAACGAACGTTTCTGTTATGTTAAAAACAATAAAAACAGCAATAGTCTAACATTTAGGAAAAGTTTCCTAGTGTCAGGCTTTGGAATATCCTCTCTATAAGCCTATGGGATAGATTGTCTCCATTTTATAAGGAAAACTGGGTCTCAGAGAGAGAGATTAAGTGCCTTGCCAAGAGTTACAGCATAACCCTAAGTGCAGAAGCCAGCAATGAATTCAGGTTTCTCTGATTCCCAAGTTCTTTCCAGACACCAAATTGCCTCTGTGAGAGAAGCAGCTTTAGCCTAACTGTAACAAAGTAAAAATATCCCAAGAAGAATATTTGAGTGTATTGGGGTTTGGTGGGGAACCGGGCAGTTGGTCTCCCAAATAGAACAGCATGTAAAACATACCATTTCTGCTATTGCTAATATCATCATCATCATCATCATCATCATCATCATCATCATCACTTTAGGGAATGTATTGCTTACTATAAGGAACTGATATGATTTTTCCTTGTGCTTGATGAGGATCACGTTTCGCTTTTTACTCTTGCTGCTAGGAAGCTCAGAGACAAATTTAAAGTTCTTCTTTAACAACTATCTAGTACTCTACATGCATATCAGAGTTCTTTTTTTCTGCCCATCTTGACCGTGAATTGTGATTTCTTTTTTACCTCATTCTAATCTTTAATTCACCATTTTCATATTTATTTCTTATATGTATTCTCATGAGACTCCTGAAAACTTTAGAATAAGGTATGCATGATATTAATTTTAAAATAACTTACCTAAGTAGAGCTTTCATCTGTAGCATCACACAGATTTTTTTAGCCCTTTGAATTCTATTGCTAAAAAATCTAAAGAAAAATCAAGACACCATCTGGCTGTCTTTGGAAAGACAGAGGTAATTCAGGTCTTTGATCTGCTGCACATGGACTGGGAGAGGGAAAGAGGACCAAATCTCCCTGACACAGACAATCATTTGCTTTATTAAACGAGTGTCTTGTATTACACACAGGGAGTAGTGCATTATGTGGATGCACAAGAAAAAATTATGATGAAAAGTAGATACTGAGCATACTGAATACTTTGGGTTTTGAAATATTAACATCACAGCTGTTTCTAATAATTTTTCTCTAACTGCAAGCTTATTTCCACAACATGTACTAATGTAAATGTAACTGCCCCAAAATGTTTTTCATTTTTTAAAATAAAGTCTTCTTAGAAATAGCTATGCAACTGAGAGCCCATAACCATCTTAGATCACTACCCCATATACAGGTTATTTTGTATTCATTTTTTGGTTTACTCTGATTCAAGATGGGAGCAGACTGAAACAGTTATCCTACTTATAAATTTGTGAAATGTGCCTTTCTAAACAACAACGAAAAAACAAAAAACAAACAACCTCACTAATGAGGAGTCAAGAAAGTTATTAGGTAATGTGTCCTGAGACTTTAGTTGGAGCAAAACGGGTGAAGTTCATTCCTCACCTAAATCTGCAGCGATGATAATCTTAACGAGTCATGGGAACTTGACTGGACAATATCCTCAAAGTAGCCCAAGGCTTGTGGAAACTTAAGTCTTTTTCGTTTTGAGAGTTGGTTTATATTAAAACTCTGGGGTTAACCTGCACTCGAGTGCAAAGAAAACGCATATCACTATTCCTTTCAGGTTTCTCCTTTTAATTACCTTTTATTTTCAATTGTCTCCATCCATGTGGATGCTTCCTTTTCCAGATGGTTTTATAGTTTTATAAAGCGTTGGAAGACTTCTTCCTTTAGAGACTATCTCTGAAGACTCCTCTGGGGGTTACCTCTGGGGGCGACCCAGAGTTACCTCCATCGCGTCCGCATATCTGGACAACCTAGAGGGGCTTCCGTTTCAGCCTGGGTTCCGTGGGCGCTTAGCTCCTGCTCGGGCCCGAGATTCTGCAGTCTCCCAAAGTTGCTGCCTTAGGCGAAGTGGAGGGGTAGGCGCCGAGCCGAGTACAGAGCGCGGGCCGGACCCGAGCCTGCGGGAGGTACCCCGCGAGGCTGCTCCGCCCCAGGCCCAACGAGGGCAGTACCGCCGACAAGCCCCAAAGACGTCACGTGTGCCCACCCGGAGCCTCGTGGTTCCCACCTATCCGAAGCATGGCGTGCTCCGCGGATCCTACGCGTCCACGAGCACCCTTCACCGAGGCCTGAATTACCCCCAGCTTCCACCCCAGTCTCTGCCAACCCCTCTCCTTCCCCCACTGGAATATATGGTGCCACTACAACCCAGCGGGCGAGCCCGGCAAGGGTTATTATCCCCAGTGTAATGCTGAGGAGGTTAAGGCCGGGAGTGGTCAGGGTCACGAAACCAATCCGTGCGGAATCGTGTCGTGAGCGAGCTCCGTCCGCCTCCCCCCGCCCCTGAATCCTCTAGAGCCGCGTGGGTCGCGGGCCAGGACGCAGGCCCGGGTCGATTTGGGTTTACGCGCTCGCAGGAGGAAACGGTGGACGTCGCGGCTGCGGAGGTCAGCGAGGGCCCGGGACCGCGGAGCCCGCGCTACAGGGGGCGTGCGCCGCGGAGCCGCGGAGCCACAGAAGCCCAGGCTCCTGGGACACGACCGCGGGACCTCAGCCGCGGACGCCCAACTCCCCGGGGCCGCTAGCAGAAAAGCGGGGCCCGCGTCCCCCTTTCCCCGGGAACTGGAGCTCCCCGCCTGGGGCCTTAGGTTTTCACTCACTTTGCTCTTTAACCTATTTTAAAAAGAAATTCTTAATTCAAATATACAGAAGACAATAATAGCCTTCTCTCTCTCATTCCATTCCCTCCCGGCTCTCAGGCGGTAACTGAGATTGACAGCCTGAGGCGCATCCACACAACTACGCGCGCGCGCACACACTCACTCACACGCACGCACGCGCGCGCACGCACACTTGCACACACGTCGCGCACGCTGTGTCTGAGGTCATGGTCGCCCCCAGGGCTGTCACGGCCGGGTGGGGCGAGGCCTCGGACACCGTTTGCTCAGCGGTTGCGGTCTTACCGGTCTGAGATGTTTCTGAGGGTTTTGATGATTCTTATTATTAGTTCTCCTCCCAGGAGCCAGCACCCTATGGTGCCAGTGGCGCTGGGTGGCTGGGCTGCGCGACCTTCTCTGCGGCTGAGGGGAGCCGCAGGCGCGGCGCGGGCGCCCACACTAATCAATAACTCTCTGCGAGCCCTGAACCGTAGGGGGCTGAGAGGGCTTTTCAAGACAGACGCCGCAGGAGGTGATGTATTTATTCTTCGCACTTACTGTGCACTTAGCACCGAGAGGGCCGTTCTTTGCACTTATCAACAAGAACCCGCGACTCCGCGGCCCCTATTCCCGGTGGCAGCTGAGCGCGAGTCCGATCGCCGGTTGTCGCGCGCCACCGCCGCTGCCGCCTGCGGCGCGGGTTCTTTGATTTCGTCATTTTACCAAGTGGCAAAGGCCGCCGGCGACCGGTTGAGACGCCCCTCCTCCGCCCTGCCTGACCCTTACATCCCGCGGACGCCACACAAGACAGTCGCTCCTGGGAAAGGGAATGCGGGCTCGGCAGGAGTCGGGTTCCGATTTGGGGCGTGTGCACTAGGAAGTGAAGACGCAGGCAGGCTCCAACTCCAAGCAGCAACAGCGCCGCCTCAGAGCTTCCCAGGGCGCCTTCCTAGATTTCCCGTAAAAACGGTTTAATTGTTAATGGCTGAGACGAATCTCCCTTTCAAGTGACTTGAGCAATTTGAGAAACTTCTGGTATCCAGAGAGAATCGGGGGTTGTTACTCCTTGCTCAACACCCTCCACTCCAAGTTTGCTTCTTTAGTTCTCTTTGATTTCAGTTGCACACCCCACAGGATAATTATCGATGATGAATTAGGGGGTCGCTTAGGCATAGCCATGTCTTTCTCCCCCTACATGACCCTTCCTTGGATGACTCTGAACCCGGGACCTAGTCGGATCTCTGCTCGGATCTTCACGACCGAGCCCCACTCACTCGGGCCAGGCGAGCCCAGCTGCTGCTGCAAGTCGCCACTGCCGTGGCCGCCGGGCTCCAAGCGCACTGCTTCCCGAAGCCGCCGCAACCCTGATTTATGCTCCAGCCGCTCGCGAAAACCCCAGCGCTTTGGCTAGGTTAATTTTTGTCAATTGTTCCTCATCACACTAAGATAGTTTGCAGCTTGAGGCGGGTTTTATTTATCACCCTGCACATTTGAAATACAGTCAGACGTAAAAATAACTGACTCTGGGATTCTGGCGCAATATTGAAGCCGTCGGGGAATAATTTGGCTAACTGACTTGGACGTTTCACCTTCTAAACAGAAATGCAACTCTCAGTCAAACTGTAAATCAGATTGTCTTCGGCAATGAAAAAAAGAAAAGGCACAAAACCCAGAAGGGAACAGAAACAAAATGAAAGAAAACGAAGATATTGACCAAAGCAAAACGATCTACAGAAATCCAAACTGAATTTTAATTTTAGTCCTGGAACCACATCGAGAACGAGAATTCCTGAATGTCTTACCAGCCGGATCCACCCCAAGGATTCTAGGGTGCCCCTGGAAACTGGACAGATTTATTTATTTATTTTTACTGTTATTGCTCTTTTTGTTATTAAATAATAATGAATAATAAATGCAATTTTGGAGGTACCCCTTGAAAAGCTCTAATTATAAATGTTAACGGGGGCGAAGGGGGGGCGCAGAACGGTATGGGCAGGTGGGGGTGGGAGATCCGCAAACGACATAAAACATAGAAAAGAAGGAAATTGGAAATTTCCCTGGCACTTTTCCTTGTTCACAAATTTTTGTGAATAAATAGAAAAGAATCTAGTAGTCTTTTCTTGCCTCAGGGATTCCTCTCCACCACCTATCTGGAAGCCCCCAATAATGAAAGCTCAAGTTCTTACAGCCCCACATAGACCCAGTGGTCAAAAGCTTGGCCAGGACTACTAAGGCAGAAACTGGAGAAGAGAAAATCCATACTGGTGACCACTCACCAATTGATCACAAAGTGGAACTCAAAACAACCAAATAAAACGTCTGCTTGGGAAGAGCGCGTCTGCTATTATTTTGCATTACTACCCCTCCCCCCCGCCAAGTAAATTTTATTCTAGCACAACAAAGCTGAGATCAGCCTCTCAAGTTTCCATAATGGAAACCTGAGGATGGTTTTCTTGACGTGAACCCACAGCGACCTTACCTGTAGGCACCTGCCCCACGCTTAGGGTATTTAAACGATTATATATTTGCTTAAACTCCTTTTTGACCAAGACCATTCACATAACTTGCTTCTAACATTTCTCCAAATAAACTGGAACAAGACAGCTGTGACTCTTAAAGTCCACAAATTAAAATTAAATTTAAAGATACCACAGGGGGCTTCAGGTAGAGAATTGGAGGGATTATTTCTAAATAACTTTGAAGGTTTTAAGGGAAGATACCCTGGTATTTGATAGTACTTAGTATCCATTGATAATACTCAATATATAATATTAAATTACGATTGCAATCAAAGCATGTGGTTTCAAGGACGTTAAATGAAATAAAATTAAATCTAATATTTTAATGGGAAAAAGATCAGAAAGTAGTGTGAAATTTTTCTCGAGTAAATTGAATTGGTGAGGTTTTGACATTTGTGGTCCAATTCTTAGTGTGGTGGTTTTTATATCAGCCCCTAACTGGCTTTGCTCAGGTTGACATCTCTCTACTTCTTCAGAGCAGAAACTCAATAAATGCAGCACTCTCTGCTGACGGGCAACTCCTGTGTTGTGAGTAATCTTTTGCCAATAGATGGTCTGATGTCCTTTTCAGTGCAACCAGCTGGGAAATTAAAAGAAATATTTGCCTCTCCACATATTTATTTTTATTTGCTGTTGTATTTGTCTTTATTTCTAACACATAAGGATGAGCTCTTTCTCTTAGAATCCCAAACCACAAATATCTCCTAAAAAATGTATATTTCAAAAATTAAACCTACAGTTGTAATACATACTGTGAACCCTATAAAATGCGTTTACAATGCTGACTTAAAGAAATTTATAACTTTCATATGTACCTTCCTTGTGCAATAGGCAACTGCCATATGTTTCCGACTTCCATAATTCAGTTTTTCTTGGACATCTGTAGCAGGTAGTGAGTGCTTCTTAAAGTACATTTTATGTAATTTGAGAAGGAACCTGCACCAAAGACTAAAGGTTAACATTAAAAAAGCACAAGTCTTTCTAGAAATGCTAGTTATTCTAAATTTACATCACCAATTATGCATAGATTGAGATAACTTTTTTCCCTCCCCCTTTCTTCATGAGACTGAATTTGGAAATGCAGTAATTCAGAAATACAGTTTGTATATGCTAAGAATTCTTTACAAGCAAAATGTCTAAATGTTCTGGTAGAGTTCCTCATTACTGTTCTTTAGTCTTTTGTTCAAAGATTCTTGTTTGATTCTTCCTGAAAATACAGGTTGGAAGTATATTACAGTAAGATTATTATTTGAGACAAAGTTTATATTTTTATCTAGAAAAGGAGGGAAACCCCCAAGCTCTTCCATTTTTTAATCTAGTATCTTAATTGTTTATGATACACTTCTTAAAGGATGGGAGAGTTTTCACAAAAGTGAAAACAAAACAAAACCAAATGTCATATAGAAAAGTCATAGTTTGTTGTCAACTTTTTTTGCCCACGTTTAAATTCAGAGTTCATTCCCAATGCTAATACTATTTTTCAATAGCTCACTTCTTTTTGTGCAGTTCCAGTGCTAGCTTTAAATTAATCTGTTAAAAGTCCTTTCATTCAGTTGAAACTGAAATGCCTCATCTGTCAGTACAAAAATATGAATAAATTCCAGCCACATTCTTCATTGTTTATACTTTCAGCAGATTATATAAATGTGCACAGAATTTCCACTGTTTAAGAACTGTTGGTATCTACAGATGTGAAATACGAGAACAAGTCCCAATTTACAGCCAATTAGAGGGTGTAATGATTTTTATAAAAACCTAAACACCATACCTAGTGATTCTTAAACGGAGTCTAAATAGGGCACTTAGTTCTATTTTCAATTCATTTCATTAAACCTGCAGACTCAAGATAACATTTGTTTATAGGGGAAAATGGCATTAAATATTTAATTCAAAGAATATGAAGCTGCATATTTTAAACATCATATTATGTAGCATAAACTTTTAAAATGCTCATTAACTGTTTGGAGAATATTATTTAATTTCCCGATTCATTGTCTCAGTTTGAGTTATGTTCAAATCTACCTGTTGCAATATTATTATCAGCAATGTCCACCTACTCATCTTTGGGTATTCTTTTACATCTGGTGTTAATTTCATTATGTCCTTTAAGACATCTTATAGTTGGGTCAGGTATTAGTGATTGAGACAAGTGTTGCCTCCTTGGACATTTTGGTTATTAACTCCTAACTGTAGGGGTGTGGGAGGAGTATGGGTCAATGAATGAGAAAGTGAAGGCGGTGGGTTTTCACGCACAGGGTGAAAAATAATGGTAGTATTGTCTGGAGGCAGAGCAAATACTGCTGGAAATTGGACGAGTGGGGAAGCTCATTCGCTCAGCTGAGTGAGTTTTCTTCTGGAAACATCCCTGGTTCTTTACTTCACT